CAGATATATGCTCTTCCTTTTTCTCCTATCCCATCTTCTGAGAAAGATATTCTCAGGACAGCTGTGCAGTCTATATGAGATTTTCTTAGAATTAGTGAAAAGATTTGGCTAGTTGAAGTACAAATAGCTTTGGGGATTTCTGAAAGCGCTTTTGGGTCGTTTTATCACTTTGCATGTCTGTATTTTCTTTTTCAGTTCAGTTCTTACGATCTCACTTTTTGTTGGTTGCAAACGAAAAGAAATGGGAGAATCCAGTGTATACATTTGTATGGTAGTTACCTCTGTAGTCAGAGCAGGTGGCAGCATCTGGCTGATCTTGAAAAAGCTAAGCAAGGTCACATGTTGATTGCACTTGGATAGGAGACCACTGGATTTATCTAAATTAAGCTCCAGGAAATCCCAAAGTGGTAAGCTAATTAGGAAAGTTCATACTGTTGCCAAGTAAGCAACATGGGTCTGTCCAATAATCACCAGGATTTGATCTAGAACAGTGTTTTTCAAACTTGGCAACTTTAAGATGAGTGGACTTCAACTCCCAGAATTCCCCAGCCAGCCATGCTGGCTGGAAGATTCTGGGAATTGAAGTCCACACATCTTAAAAGTTAGCAAGGTTGAGAAACATTGGTCTAGGACAGTGTTTTTCAAACTTGGCAACTTTAAGATGAATGGACTTCAGCTCCCAGAATTCCCCAGCCAGCATGTTTGAAAAAGTTTGAAAAACCTGATCTAGAAGGAAACGTCACTTGCAGCTCGATAGCCTTCACGTCAACTTTTCCGGTTCATTTGTTCCAGCTGTGGCTTGCCCTGGCAAGACTCGAAACCTACGAAAATGCTCGTAAGGTCTTAAACAAAGCCCGTGAGAACATTCCAACTGACAGGCACATCTGGATTACGGCTGCCAAGCTTGAGGAGGCTAACGGGAATACTCAAATGGTGGAGAAGATCATTGACCGAGCCATCACCTCGTTACGGGCTAACGGGGTGGAAATAAACCGGGAGCAGTGGATCCAGGTACTTTGTGGGCGTTTCTCTTTGAAAGTCTGGCTTTGTTTCTAATCGGATGTCTTCCAGGCTTTTTGAGACTGTCTCCCAAACTACTCAAGGCGCCAAGCTGGGAATGGTTGTTTTAGACCATTGTACAGTATGTGTTCAGGGCAGGTGCTACAATACGATCTGGAATAAAATAAACAGATGTGGAAAATCTATTGGAAAATGTCTCATGGCTCCCAGTGCATTTCATAACAATTCTATGGAAGCTTGGGCTACAAGAAATAATATGAATATTTTAGAAGCTATGGATTGAAGCAGTTATGCTGGTCCGTAATAAAGATTTGATTTGATTTGATTTGAAACAGCTGCTCTTCTGGAATCTACCAGAAAGAGATGGGAGGGATGGCCGGGGTGTTCAGGGACTAAGATAGATGGAATGCAAAGCACGCAACAGAAGAGGAGAGATTGTGTTTGTCTGGTTCTTTCAGTTGTAGTTAAATATTTAATCACGATGTTACACTTGTTTTTCTGTGAACTAATGAAGCTCATGTATCTGTCAGTTTTGTTAATTGCTTTAATGTGCCATGCGAATTTTTACAGATAAAAGCATTACTACTACTGTTTTTTTCATTGGAAATGAAAGATACTTAGCCTGAACATGTACTCTTCTAAGATACTATGGCCTCTCACCTCTGCCTGGGTGAAAGTGCGGTGGTCAGGGGGCAGAACAGCCAGTTCAGTTACGGGCATTGCCAGTTTATGACGAAGCTTCCACTTTGGGGGGAATTGCCACTTCCTTGCCCCAGCTGAAAATGTGAAAATAAATTCTTCCAGGATGCTGAAGAATGCGACAAAGCTGGAAGTGTGGCCACCTGCCAGGCGATCATGAGAGCAGTGATTGGAATTGGGATTGAAGAGGAAGACCGGAAACACACCTGGATGGAAGATGCTGACAGTGTAAGTACAGACCTCAGGCGTGACGCTGATGATGAGCCCAATTGGCAAAGTTAGAGGTGGGACGTTGCAGCCTGTCTGACATCACACATGTTTCCCATTTTTTATTTGATCGCTTTTATCAGTTGGCACCTCTGCCTACTTTTAGGACAGGGGCTACCTCTAAAAATTGATTCTAGTCATCTTCTGATGTAAGCAAAAACTCTGAACTGCAATTTAAATTGGGTGTATTTGGTGGTTTTGTAAGTCAGTATTTCATACATAATGGCTAGTTTGGCACAACGTGCTGAATGGGTTCTTTGTGGTTCCGCATGTTGAGGAATCCAACCATTAGCTTGCATGGGACGGGCCATCGTAATAACCATACCATGGTTCATTTCTTTGGGCACTGCATATTACGGCACATGGCGGGGGGGTTTTTGTGTGTCATCTGGGCGTAGCACGCTACGTGAATATTTGCTTCAAAGAATAGGAGGGCATTACTGATGAACGTAACTGTTCTGTTTTGTAAAATTTGCATAGCCTGATTTTTGTGTAAGTCACAATTGGACCAACAATCCTCAGAAGCATGGGATGGAAGTTGGGCTTTGTCGCTCTACATCAGCGTTTCTCAGCATGCTGGGGTTGAAGTCCACACATCTTAAAAGTTGCTAAATGTAGAGGAACACTGCTCTACATTTAAAAAGTAAATGTTAATGCACCATAAAAATTTTAGATGGGGTTTATGGAAACATTTGCATAAAGTAGAATGGCTTCTGACATAGTGGTCTGCAAAAAGAATGTTCTTGAATCTACACCTAAGATTATGATAGGTAACTAAAAATAGTTTGTTTCACCCATGTTCCTTTTTTCCAGTGTGTGGCTCACAATGCCTTGGAGTGCGCCCGGGCAATTTACGCTTATGCCCTGCAAGTATTCCCCAGCAAGAAGAGTGTCTGGTTGCGAGCAGCCTATTTTGAAAAGAATCACGGAACAAGGTACATCCCCTTGTGCTGTTTTGCAAAGATTCTGCTGGAAACAGGTTGTGGTGATTGTTCCTATGATGGTTTAGCTTCATTTGTTGTAGCTGGAGGGGAACAGATACAAGGTGCTTTTCCTACAGCTCTGTTTTTAATACATAGAAAGGCAGTTGGCAGATTACGGCCTCTTGATGCGAAGCCCCTGAGGCTTTTTCCGCTGTCAGTTTCTTGGCCCCCCTGGATGGGAATGATCTCTTTTGATTGTGAGCCACAAGATTACTAACATGACAGGGCCTCTGAGGGATGCCTGTGGAGTACCTTTTAAAAATTGTATATTGCCTCTTTAATTTAAAATCACAATTGTTGCTAAACGATTTCCATCCTTCTAGTAATCTGTGAGGTGTAGGACCTGAGATCTTTCTCGCTCTGATCCATGGTCTCTGCTTGGGGAGTATATTTAACCTGATGATGTAATTAACTCATTTGGAGGTTCACACAGTACATTGAATTATGAACCAACCAAACAGGCTGGATTTGGACAACGTACCCAGCCACAGAAAACTTAACCAAGGTTAACGGTTCCCAAGCTAAAAATGCAGCTGTTAGGACTTTACCTAGCTTCGTTAAGCATGTTGTGTGAGCGCAGCCATAGTGTAATCAATAGAAGATGGCTCTTGGAACACCTTTGGCTCATGTGAATGAAAATGGGCCCCTTAGACTGTCTCCTTTTCCAATTATTTAGGAACCATTTTGAAGAGAGCTTTACCGAAACTGAATATATCATTTGAGAGGTGGACAGCAGAATAGGAGTAGCGCAGGATTTCCTGCTTCTGATGGGTTTGGGTTCTGGACCCCAGGAGGGCAAGTGTTGCTTATCCTGCCTGTCAGCAAGTTAGATGCGCAGACCGTGACTTCCTTGGGCTCTTGTGTCCTTTCAGGGAATCTCTGGAAGCTCTCTTGCAAAGAGCTGTTGCTCACTGCCCCAAAGCTGAAGTCTTGTGGCTCATGGGGGCAAAGTCCAAGTGGCTGGCTGGAGATGTCCCTGCTGCCAGGAGCATTCTGGCGTTGGCTTTCCAGGTGAGCTTGCCCAGCTTTCATGGGGTCCTTCCCTTCTGCAGTGACTGCTTTGGAACAGAGGGCTTACGGTATTTTGGATTTATTTAGAAGTGTTTCAGGCGATCTGTGCTAAAAGCTTCCAGGTTGATTAAAAAAAAAAAAGAGAGAGATGAAAGGACATGACATAGACCAACAGGGGGAAAAACAAATAAAAACATGGGAGAATGAAAGGAAAAATGCTCCAAGAACATGAGATCCTTGAGGTTCTGTTGTCTTTCTGCAGTGATAAAATAGCCTCACCCACGACAAAGTTTAGAATATAATCTACTGATCCATCGAAATGGTTTAGGATCTGTTGTGGTCCTTTCTGGCTCTTCTCCAGTTGCAGAAATCACCCGTGCTCGAACGCTAAGAGAAGTGCTGGGTTGCTTGCAATACTTGGGACGTTGCACAGTGTGGTATTTTGCATGATGGGTACCTTTTTTCCCCCACCCTCTTTGAAATTAACATCCCGATTCTTTGGAGCACCCGCTGAAGGACGTCTCTCTCTCCACAATTTCCTTTTTGTCCTTAGAGAGGCCTGTTTTATCTTTTGCCAGCTGTTACTTAGAGATGGGGTAGAGAACCAATGGCTTGTGGGTCTGGTCCAGATGACCAGCTCAGCCAGTGTGATCTGTGAAACTACAGCTGTTTCAGCTGTTGGGCCATGTGCCTTGCACAGACCAAAAAAAAAAAAAAAAAATCCACAGTCCTGAACTGGGTGAGGCTTGGGCATCCTGCTCCATTAAGCTCAGCTGTCCATCCAAGCAGGTGTTGGGTCCAGCTCTGGACCAGATTCCATTTATCACACCCGGTTCAATGATTTGAATATCCCTATATCCACAATGACACAGAAGTAAACAAGCAAGCACATATTCCATGTGGTTTGTTGTCCAGGAACATAGGCAGTTTCCTTATATGAGTCAGGCTGTTGGTCTGTCCTGCTCTGTGCTGTTCCCACTAAGTGCTTTAGCTCTGCAGAGTTTAATGGAGGCACTTTTTCCAGGCTGTCTTCACCCAACAGGGGTCCTGTTGGTGCAGGCAGAAGCTGAACCACTGAGCAGGACCCAGGGCTCCAAATGATCAGTTGGGGAGCCTGTCGCCAACCCCTGATGATTAAATTAGGATCTGGATCTTCAGTTTTCCCCAGCCTTCATGATCCATGCTTAGCTAGCACAAAGCGTGCCTAATAACAGAACAGTAGAAGAGGAGGGTTCGGCCTGATACGTACAATTGACGAAGCGGGACTTGGAATTTTCTGATGCCCCTTTCCTGTCTGTGTGTGTGACTGTTTTTCAGGCCAATCCCAACAGTGAAGAGATTTGGCTGGCTGCCGTGAAGTTGGAATCCGAAAACAACGAATACGAAAGAGCAAGGCGGTTGTTGGCCAAGGCCCGTAGCAGCGCCCCAACAGCTCGAGTAAGCCCCACTCTGCTTGGAGGACGCAGTTCTATTAAATTAGCTGCAATTACTTTCACTGGGTACATAAAGGTGTCTTAGCTCATCTGCTGAGCTGAATGTGCCCTTCGACCCAGAAAATTTGTTCTCTACCACTCGGGGGTGGATGTTCCCACATCTGAATGAAATAATTACAGTTAGAGAAGAGAAGAGAGCCCATCCTGCTGTTTAAAGATCCTAGTGTATTTATGTCTCATGTCAGGGTTGTGTTTAACATTCAAGCCCAAAACAAAACATATATTTTAAGAGTTTTGTATTAAGGTTAGAACATTTTGTTTGACCTTGGAATAAATTTGGCTGTTTTGAGTAGCAGCATTTTGAGTGTTCTGGTCATAGAAGACAATGTTGAAATAGACTTTGTGGGTCCAAGCTCAAAACTGAACATGTCTGCTTCAATAGTTGTATTTCAGGGTCAGAATAAAATGCTCAAGACCCTTTGCTTTTTAATTCTGATGGAAAACTGCCAACTCAGATGCTTTTGAGTGGGGCTGTTTAATCCACACTTGAAACAAAACACATTTCCCACTTCAAACGTACTTGTAGTCATGGTGAGTGCTGCTGTGCAGTGGGTCAGCTAGAGGCATAGCGGTGGGCTAAAAAGAGCCACTGCTTCAAACCGGTTAGAGTGACCTGTGCTGCGTGACTGAAGAGGGTAAGGGCCTGCAGTAGATCTTTGCTAAGTTGCTGTTGTCGTGCATCTTCAGAATGTTTTGTGAGAGAGTGCAGTCTCTTTGTGTCGCTTGAAAATGAATTGATCTTCTTGATACCATTAAAGTGTGCCAGTGGAAAGTCACCCGAGGATGATAGGGCCATTTCGTAGATTCTCTCATTGGTTAAATGCTCTTGTGTATACTTTTCACCCACTTCAATATATGTCCTCCACATACTGTTTTAATTGTTGTGCTTAGTGCTATAACTTTATTGTTGTTGTGCCTTTGAGTCAGGGTTGACTCCTGGCAACTGTCTGGACAAGTCCTTGAAGTTTTCCTGGCAAGATTTTGGAAGTGGCTTGTCACTGCCGCCTTCTTAGGGCTGAGAGAAAGGGACTGGCCCAAGGTCACCCAGCTGGCTTTGTGCCTATGGTGGGACTAGAACTCACAGTCTCCCAGTTTCTAGGCTGACATGGCACCTTAACCACTATACCAATTTGGCTTACAGGCTATAACTACTACTATTACTTCATTATTTCAAAAGTCTGTAGTCCAATTTCTCTCATGTTTTTTTTTCTTTAAAACATTGCTAAATAGGTAACAAAATACACATCGGATTATATAGTTTACAGTATCCCCATTTTTTTCCTTCCTAAGAGCTAGAAGTAGCTTACGAACAACTTGAAATAAGCTGCTACGGTATTACATTCGGTGTAATTGAGTAGATTTTTAAGTGCAGAACAGGTGCATCTGGCAATTGTGGTAGTCCTCAAAACTTCTGGTGAGTGTGTGTGGACCTAAAACGTCTTAGAAGATGGGGGTTCCCTTGGATTAGGGTGAAAGGTGAAGGTTCCCTGCGTCTTTCCAGGTCTTCATGAAGTCTGTCAAACTCGAATGGGTGCTTGGAAACATTGCCGCAGCTCAAGAGCTCTGTGAGGAAGCCCTGAAGCACTATGAAGACTTCCCCAAGCTATGGATGATGAAAGGACAGATAGAGGAACAGGAGGAGCTGATTGAAAAAGCCCGAGATGCATATAATCAGGGGGTAAGGCCGGTTCCTCTGTAGTTTTCTGGGAAGATCATGGGCTCTCTCAGAATGTGTTTATAATATGTATATGACTCTGCAATCTAGACCCCTTTGGGAAGTCTAAAGCAGCATTCCTCAACCTTGGTGACTTGAAGATGTGTGGACTTCAACTCCCAGAATTCTGGGAGTTGAAGTCCACAC